CGAGAATGCTTAGCTGTTATTTTTAGTTTGGAAAAATTTCGTCCTTGGATTGATGGCGTACGTTTTACCGTTTGTACAGATCATTACTCTCTTTTGTGGCTTAATAAATTACAGAATCCTACTGGTCGTCTTGCTAGATGGGCTGTCAGACTTAGACAGTTTACTTTTGATTTAGTTCATCGTAAAGGTTCACATAACGTAGTTCCTGATTTTCTTAGTAGAATACCTGGCGATGATTCTCCTTCAGATATTTCAGATAATGATTCCTTTGTATGTCCACAAATTTCTATTTTGAATATAGATTTAGATCATACTGATGCATGGTATGAGACAATGAAGCGAAAGATTTTAGCTTCGCCTAGTTCATTTCCACAGTGGAAAGTTGAAGATGGTTTTCTTTTTAAGTTTATTCCGGTACAGCTACCATTTTCATCAAATCTTCAAGAATGGAAGAAGGTTGTTCCACGTCCTCAACGTCGTAATATTATCGAATCATGTCATAATCCGCCAACTTGTTCGCATTTGGGTTTCTATAAGACTTTATCAAGACTTCAAGAACAATTTTACTGGCCCAAGATGAGAGCCGATGTTCTTAAATTTGTTAGGAGTTGTCGTGTTTGTGGAGCTCAGAAATCTTCAAATACTATGCCGTTAGGTAGGATGGGAAGAGAAAAACAAGTTAATATGCCTTTTCAGACAATCGCTTTAGATCTTATGGGTCCTTTTCCTAGATCAAAAAAGGGTCATAAGTGGCTTTTAGTTGTTGGCGATTGGTTTTCGAAGTATGTTCTTCTGTGTCCGTTACGTTCATCAAAATCTCCGTATGTTGTGAAGTATCTTAGAGTGAAGTTTTCCTTACTTATGGAGTACCTCAATATATAATTTGTGATAATGGTCCTCAGTTTGTTGCTAAAGAGTTCAGAGATTTAGCAAAGAAATATCAAGTTCAGAAGATCTGGTATAATGCTGTGTATTCTCCTCAATGTAACTTTGTTGAGCGAATGAATAAAACAATAGGAACAGCTATTAGAACTTATGTTAAACAACATACAGATTGGGATGTTCATAAGGAGGGGTTCATAAGGAGGGGTTTCTCGAATCTCAAATTCCAAGAAGGTAAAAACGCCCCTCAAATATTACAATATTTGTTATTTAAAAAACGGTTAGTCTTTCGGGAAAACGCTTGGACAAACATAATTTATTTGGTTTTTTTACATATTTTGAAATTCTTTAAAAAATCATACACGGTGTTCCAAAAAGTTGGGTAATTTCTTAACCACGATTCTGCTTAAACTGCTTGACGTAAAAAGCTTATTTTTGGCAAACGGATTTTTCAAAAGTCAAATTCCATCGAGATGAAACTACCCCTCAAATATTACCAAGTTATATAATAATATCGCCATATTGTTTTTTCTCATGCTGATATAAATGTGAGAAAATCTTATCCAGTTTGTATGTTAATGGAAATTCTTGCTTTGCTTTATCATCACCATTACCAATAATTAGTTCGACGCGAACGAAGTCGCTGGTACACACTAGTTTTTTTATAATCTGTAGACACATATTCTAGAAGCTGGAGACACATAGGAGAAAAGCTGGTCTAGAAGAACGTGAACTCTTCAAAATCATCAAGAAGAGGAAAATAGCCTGTTTGGGACACATACTACGTGGAGAACGCTATCACTTTCAGCGTCTGATTCTCCAGGGTAAAATAGAGGGGGGCAAAAGGGGAATAGGCCGAAGGAAGCTATCCTGGCTGAGAAATATTCGTTATTGGACAGGCATACAGGACTTCCAAGCACTCCAAGTCGCTGCAGTTAATAGAACCATCTGATGAGGAAGAAAAGGATGAACGCCTACGCAGTTAATCTGCACGGCACCTTAAGAAGAAGACACATAGTCCTACCTTTTTGTCACTCTAGAGAAAAATTTCTTAGTATCCCAAGTATTTTTCTTTTTAAGTAAAACAAATTTTGTCTCAAAATCTCATCTTACGGCTTACAATTATTCTAATATTTTATGTCATACGGATTGTTGACCTGAAATTCTAAACCATTATGTATTTTTTAATGAAAAAAGTATAAATAACAAATAGTTTTGGCATTTCTATTTCGTACATGCAGGTTCATTAAAATAGAAAAGTAGCTGTACATAGAACCACTTTTATTCATTGATTGACAGATTCAAAATGCCTAGCTATCAATCGATGCTCATTCCAATCATTCAGCGTGAATCTTTCGATCGCACAATGCATTTGAAATATGCAGATAAAAAGCTAAGCAATCCCGTGTCAACGTAACAAGCATTTCCTGTGATGACATTGAGTAGGAAGAGTAGAGATTATGAAATATCTATCAGAATGTCAGTGGGTCGATGAATTAAATCATTATTGTATTCTTGGACCAGTGGCAGACCTAAAATTATTCATTGTTAGTTAAAAATAACTATTATACTTAAATTTAATAACAAATTCTATATTTTCAGTTTCTGATGATCTGTAGACGTCTTGAAAACGGTTGAAACTATAAAACATAAAAACGTATACCTATATCATTATGTTTTAAATATTCAAATAAATATTTTGGTGTTTTTCTACACAGATCTCATAGTATTTTCAATACACACAGAACTTTTCAATACAACATTGTATTGATTTGACTTTTCTATTAATGCTATTGCTAAATATAGCATTGCCTAAGGCAATTATATACAATTCTTACAAAGAAATATCGGTATTCTAGACACACCCCATTTTAATGGTACTATATAATAATAGTTTTGTGTTTATTAAAAAAATCTATATCAATTTGATTTCCAGCACGATTCAGATCTGTAAATCACAATAAGTATCAATAATTTTAGAGTAGATTTGCTCATTACTCATTTGAATATACTATTCAATTATTACGTGTGAGAGAATGATACATAATAGATATAACAATAAGAAATAGTTGTTTATGAATAACAAATAATCAGTAAAATAATTATTGCATTGTATTATTCACACGTTCACAAATAAAATTGGCTTGAGTACAAGATTTATCACACTTAAATGATCTGAAATCGCAAACTTGGTTTCTGAGATACACTGTGCGGAGAACTTGTGAATGTCTATTCAGATTAGACAGTTTGTGCGGAGAACTTGACGCCGATACTTGAATGAAAATAGGTGTCTGTGTGTTTTTTGACATGATTAATTCGATTTCGATATTAGCGATATTAGTATGTCTCCTACTTGTAGGGAACGCCACCTGTATATGTTTTAACTGTTTTGAAGAGTTATAATTTTTTGGCTTTTTGGGTACTTGTATTACACTACTGAGATAGAATATACCTATGTATATACATTTTCGGCCGTTCTTTAAGTAATAAAGGTTTCTCGGTAAAAATCTCTATGATCAACCCTTATCATGATATTCGAAATCGAATTAATCAATAAATGCCCTCATTGACAAAAATTAAACATACTGGCCAGATATAGATATTAAATTCAAATAATAAATTTGGAAACGTACTTTAATACACTTCTATATTTATACAGGGTCGCTGTTATGTATGGAAACAGTCGATTATTAGGTAAAATATAAGAGGTACTGCAAAAAGTTAAATACAAAAGTTATAGGGTTTATAAATATCTATTAGCGGGTAATAAATTTAAGTATACAGGGTTGGTCATAAAGTCGTGCCACATCAAAGTGTCATTCTTTTAAATAGAACCCGCTGTATATTATTGCATATTTCAATTCTTCCTTCAATTCTATGCAAAAATCGAAATACACATAATATACCTCAAACCAACCGTTTCCGAGTTATTGACTTTTGAAGATATCCCTTAAAGAATTTGATTTAATTATATTAATATATGTTCAGTTTAATTTAACGATGCCATTCCGCCGAAACTGTGATACTTAATAATATTTGACATTAGTTCTCAAGTTAGCGTTTATAGATGTATAAAATGAGAGTATATCAAGTCTGGAAATTACAAAATTTTTGTTTAACATTTCAATTCTTCAATTTATGTACATTGTGTATTACGATTATTGCTTAAAATTGAAGGAATAATTGAAATATGCAATAATATACAGGGGATTTCATTTAAAAAAAAATAAAGTTTAATGTGACACAACTTTATGTCAGACCCTGTATACTTAAATTTACTTGTAGCTAATAGGAATTATTTAAAAGCTCATTAGATTAGAACAGTATCACAGTTTCGACATCATTAAATCAAACCAAACACATGGAAATTAATAAAATCGAATTGTTTAAGTGACATTTTCAAAAGTCAATAACTCGGAAACGGTTGCTTTGAGGTACATTCTGTATATTTCGATTTTTGCTTAGAATTGAAGGAAGAATTGAAATATGTAATAATATACAGGGGGTTCTAGTTGAAAAAATGAAACTTTGATGTACCACGACTTTATAAACGACCCTGTATACTTAAATTTATTACTCGCTAATAGATATTTAAAAATCCTATAACTTTTGTATTTAACTTTTTGCAGTACCTCCTATATTTTACCTAATAAACGGTCGATTCCGTTTCCATACATAAAAACGACCCTGTATATTATATGCATTATCTTATTATTTCCTATTTTAATTTATTTTAGTAGGTTGTCTTATTAAAAAGGCAATATCTTAACCGTGACATTTAACAGCATATGTGATTTTTATAATAATTTACACTTGATTAAAAACTGTATAATTTACTTTTATAATGAATATCCCGGCTCAAAAATAAAAATAAATGAGATAAAGCCTGTTAATAGTGTGACAAAACCAAATGCTGCCACTGTACAAATAGACGGGCACGTACGCCACTGGTAGCTTTATCTCTATCCACTCCACCATAATAAAGCCGAATTAATTAAGAAGAGATTGATCGTCTCTCCTTAAAATTTGAAATATCTTTTTAAGTCTACTTTTAATCTCTTTGCAGACCCCGATTCGAGACGACTTTATCTAATTATTTCGTTCTTTTTATTTTTCAGAGATCCTTCACGCTGATCCTTCAAGCTGTAGATTATAATAATTTCTCGATGCCCGGTAAGTGATATACATAGTTATTTTCTTTTAAGAGGTGTGCATGTAATTAGTTATTTCAATATAGCATTAGCAAATAGATATTCTAAAAATAACAAAAGTAATTTTCATCGTTTTCAAGATGACAAATAGATCATTATTCAAACAGTGAAAAAAGTTAAATCTGTATTCCGTTTCTTAGTTAAAAATCTTAGTTACGATTTTGGGTTCCTTTTCTATGTTTTGCCTAAAGTTTTTATTACTACAGAATACAGTTCCTGAAAAATATCTGTCATTTGTCATCAAATTAAACAAACCAAACCCTAAAACAAGAAGGTTTTTTAAAGTTCTCTTGTCAATTTTGGGGATTGGACCCTTTGGTGTCACAATTCCACACACAGTTGCCATATGATATGTCATTCTATTCAGAGTGTCATTTTTTATCGAATAAGGTAAAAAATACCGAGGGTGCCTTTTAAAAATCAAAAGTTGTAGTCATTTCCGGTGAAACAGTGAAACAAGTGACCGAAAAAAATTGAGGCGTCAAGTTGCAAAACCCCTCATATCTCACACAAACGAGTTGTGTTGTGTGTTGTTTCGAGATAATAAGCAAAAACTGTTTTATCAATTGTTTGAAGCGTTAATTTACAAAAAGCGTGTCCCTTGAGTGGAATCATTGTTTTGTATCTCGTTTTTCTAGAAATAAAAATTATTATTTAATTTTTAAATAAAAAAAAACACAAAAATAATTTGGATAAGGCGGGTTTTGTTGCAGTACGATACATATTGTGGGTTTTGATACAATATGATAAAAAAACAGCGTCAACGATAGCTATGAAATGAAGAACACTCTCATTTTATATGGGAAATGTCATCGATTGTCATTTCCTAGCCAACTGGACGCCGTTTTCTGTCGATCAAACGGTATTTGCATCCTAACTTGATTTATTAAATATACTATTTTATTAAAATTAAGTAAGGATTTGAAAAGACGTCAGTAGTAATATTACACTTGTTTAAAAAGCTTATGAAAAAATGCGGGATTTGTAACAATAACGACAATAAAAAGCAAATATATGTAAGTGGAAATTTTGCTCGAAATATAAGACAGATTTTGCTGCAGTAACGTAATTTTTAGTGAATTTAAGATAGGAATAGGCGACTTTTACTGCAGTTTGGGATTATGTTTATGTAGATTTCAGGGTCCACTACTAATATATGTCATTAAGCCATTTTTTTTTAAATGGATAAGGCGGGTTTGAAATATGTCAGGAGGTAAATTGAATATGTCAATCAATCTTAATTTATGTCATATGATATACCAGATCTCGTTTTTTTACCTGAAAAAATAAAAAAGTTATAGGGGTGGGCCACTTTTGAGACGCACCCTGTATACTGCATACTTATCTGTGACAAATGCAGTGACGGGTCGTGCACAAATTCGTTATAAAATCATTCGTATTAAAATCTTCGTTTATTTTTTCATTGTTTCGTGAATTTAAAGGGACAAAATTCCAAATTAAAAAACAGTTATTTAGGTACTGGTTTTGAAGGCTAATACCCCGTCAGAACAAATAATGACAAATTCTAGTATTTTACTACATCTTTCCATTTTTAAAATAAAATATTATTACTATTTTTGAATTAATTCTATGGTAGTAAATAAAATAGTATGGGAAACTCGCAGTAATGTGTTCGTTACTGTCTCAAGATTTAGTTAATCCCTCGACCAGTAATGAAATACTTCCCTACTCGGTATACCTATAATATAATTACTTTTAAGTCATAATTAATAGTAATAAAAAATATCATTAAAATTATTTACAAGCAAATTAATAAAAAGACATTACGTACCAAATCCACAACAAGTCATGCAATTTGATACGTTGGAGGTCCACAATTCACACGCGTCTGTAAAAAACGGCCGTAATCATTTCAATGACAATCGAATCAGAAAGCAAACACTTGAAAACAACAAAAACAAAAACTACCGTATTTACCACTCGAGATCCCTAATTGGATGCACATTCGACTCTTCAAAGTGGCACTCGAAAATCGTTCGGTTGTTGTGGAGGCGTCCCATGACAAGATGCAGCCATAGGCGCCCTTACTGTTGAAATAGAGGAAATATTGAATAAAAAGCATAACGAAGGAGTACAAATTTAGCGACACGGTTTTAAAATAGTGTAAGTTCAATATATAATTTGTTGCTTTTTTCCGATATGATAATAGTTACTAAATTGGTCCGAACTGTATTCCCGAAACATCGGCAGCATATTCTGCAAAAAAAAAGTAAAAAAGTTCGTATAAATGTATGTCCTAAAATGCTTAGTTTCGGAGATACAGTGTGTAGAAGTTTCATTTTTATTTCAAATTTTTTCCAAATAATTTCTGAAGTAACGTCAATATTTAGATGAAAATTGATTTCTGAAAGTTTTTTGACATGAAAAATTTGATTTTGATGTCAATATGACTCCTATTAGTAGGGGGCGCCACCTACATGTTGTTTAAACTGTTTTGAAGAGTACCTAATAACTTTTCATCCGTACCTGTATAAAGCTACTGGGTAAAAAAATATACATTTCCGTGATTTTTTACGTAAAAAATCCTCATTGGAGGATATTCATTAATATGGACTCACACTAGCTTAACGGACGTTTTTTAATAATAAATAAGTTAATTTAATTATTTAATAACACAAATACAGATAAGCGACTGAAACAACTAAGTAAATTCAAAAAATTGACGTATCCTAATTACTTTACAAAAATAGTTAATAAATGCGAATATGGAAGAATAAAAAAATAATTAGTCAACTGTAAACCAATTTCATAATTGATTGGTTTACTATTCACAACATATTTATATTAACAAGACAAGTCTTAAATAAGTGTAAATGTATTTAGGGGAGGTGCTATACCACAAACACGCAAAAAAATTGAAAATATATGTTTAAAAATAAAGCTATGTATTCGTTTATTCCTTTTTTTTTATTCATTGTGAGGAAAAGTGAAAAATTGGACATAGTTGCTCTTCGTCACAAAGATACGAAAACCCATTATTAACCGACAAACTAAAAAAGAGGTGTAGATATTTAAGCCTTATAACCTTAGTTGTTTAAATAAATGTAAGTTCTAAAAAATAATAGGTTACCATTAAAAGACTAGTTTTTAGATGTATCTATTTACTGGAAATCATTTATATTATTACCAATACTTAACTAATAGAATTAATGAAAGAATTTACTAGAGAACTTGTTAGATTCTTACTGTGTTAATGAGAGCTATTATTTTAACAGTAGTGGAGAGTTAACGATGTAGAAAGCTTACATTCTCGAAATAACCGCAATATTTAACACGACACAAAGGCATCTCCTAAATTAGAATAAATTCAAAATAAATTAAACATATTATTCGTTATAGAGCACATTAAATGTATAGTTAAATTACATACCGATTAGAGAAGTGTTTCTTACTATCGTGGAATTAACCAGAATCTCGTCACAGTAATAAAAACTTTCCGAAATTTGTATGATTTCTTTATTTACAACCACAACCATTATGAAAAAGTAGGCATTCGTCTTTTTTTGGTTTTAACGGGCGAAAACCCGTAAAACTAATATTGACAAAAGCTTGTCAATTTTGAATTACTTTTTGTCTTTTGAATTGGTGTAATAAGGAAAAACAAAATGTTGTCGGAAAGTGACAATAACGTGGACTATTTTAAGACTTGAATCCCAGAATTTAAACAAGCTGAATAGAAGCAAGAGAAATGGAAGAAGACAAGTGAATCAAATAAGGAGAATAGAAAAGGACTATTACAGGATAGAATGGACAAGGCTAAGCACAAGAGCAGAGCAGCAAGCAGCATGGAGAGCAAAACAGTGAAAATAAACACATGAGCTATATAAGCAATATGGAGATGATTTACTCTGTATTGTTCATTGCTATATGTCTAACGATGCTTGATTTTCATGCATCCGTTATACGTTGATACGTTGGTCCGACGGTGCTCTGATTGGTCATAGCGTTTTTGCGCCACTTTTCATCCGTAAATATTTTACTTCAGCCCGTCAACGGACCCGTTCATAAGATAACGGACGTTTTGACACTTTTTTGACTAATTTAATCTAACCTAAATAAAAATATAAGTAAAATAGCAAAATCGTTATGGAAACGAAAATATAAAATGACACCAACTTATATCCGATAAACGGAGGCATGAAAATGCAATAAATTTAAAAACTGCGTTATTTTCTAACCAATCAAAGTCTTTAAATTCTACCAATAAAATTAATATCGTATCAACGTATCATCGGACAACGGATGCATGAAAATCAAGCTTTAATCTGGGCTCGAATTCTGGAACTTTGACATAAAAACGTTACGCTTTCAAAGCGGTAAGCGAAAGTATTCGATTAGCGGAACGCCAAGCAGTCGATTTTGTTATTCTCGTTGACGTGCGAATCGTTTTCTGGATACGCTTTGAACACATATTGGCAGCATCGCAATTTCTCAGGTATCTAATAGTTTGGTAATAGTCAAATGTGGATAAAATTATGAAAAATGTTAATGTTACGTGAATTTCATAACCTGTTGTTAATTATGTCAACCTATTTTTCTATGGATATGTCATGGATATGTTATTCTTATTCATAGATAAAAGACTTATAATATTAGTTCTTATTATACAAGGGAAATATTGAAGACGTATCTCAGCATTTTCGATGTTTTGAACAATATTTATAGCCGCCAAGTCATAAATTATCGATTACTTATTGAGGAATTTATAGAAGAGGAAATCGTTTTCACTAGAGAGCAAGAGGACGCACAAAATCACAATTTTTTTCTATTTTTACTGACAGTTTGACAAGCAAAACGATCCTTTAAGGTAGCCGTTTTCAAATCGCTTAGCACAATGTGTAAAGAAGTTAAGCGCATCAAATGAGAATACCCAAATCGGTAGTCAAGAGCGAGGTAAGCAAAAATTAACGTCATATACGCTAAGTGTCTAAAAACGCTCAGCGTTTTCTAAGTTACAGAATTCGGGAACTGCGGTATGTTTTCGGAAATTGTTTTTGCTGCTTTGCTCTGTGCGCTGCTCTGTTCTTTGCTCCACTATATGCTGAGCCTTATTCACTTTTTCGTTTTATGGTCATTTTCTATTTGTCCAGTTGCTTCCCTTACTCGTCTTCTCTCATTTCTTTTGCTTCCGCTCTTTCTGCAGCTTTCTGTTCCTACGCTCTTCATTTTGTGCTTAGGCTAAGACAAAATATCCAGATTACAGACGTGATCTACAAAATTAAATCCATTAAATAGCAATAGGCAGGTAACCTGACGAGAAGGTCTAACAAAAAATGGAAGCCAAAATTGATTTAAGTTGGAACAAGCACGTTACAAAATAAGCAGGAATAAAACTGCATCGGACAGCATTACAAAGAGTTGCAATGGTGCAAATGAAGGGAGATTATGAAAGGGTTGATGAATATGAAGATGTCTCTTCGAAATATAAATATCAGAAAAATTTTACACATTTCTTATGTACGCCACTGCAGATCATCTTTATCTCACAGCCGCCAATATAGGCATACTCGTAACCGATTTTAGAATGGGGATAAAATACGCTTAAAGTACTTATTAATGAATGTCCCGATCGCCCACGGCTGGGTGATTTGCAAATCTAACACAACGCCCGTCTTGTGTACACACTACAGAACCGTTTAGCGCACTAGAAGAAGGTAATTTTATTTAAATGAACCGCCAGAGGCGCTGCTGGAACGGTCGGTCGTCTCGTCGCCGCAGTCTTGAACTTTGTCGCCATTTTGTTCGGACCTCTCGGACTAGTGTAGAAAATCGGATACTAGGAAAATTTGCATTTGTAAAGATCGTTTGTATGTCTGTAAATGAAAATACGATGAAATTTGATACATGAAGGATGTCGGAAGATTTTCCCACATTTGTAAAATAAAAATTGTAATAAAATTAACCCAACTTTAATTTAGTACGATATATTTCTCTAGACGCTTCTGACTATAAAGTTCGTAAGCATTTATTTATGCTTAGTTTATTCCTTTACAGCCACTCAACTATTTTCTATTTTATACAATATACGAAATCAAACATTGTTCATTCTCAGCATGACAAAATCGTAATGATGAAGACGTATAAACGAAAAGAAAAATTTCGTGAGACTTTTTTAACAAAGCAGAACCCAAAAAAAAATTGGCGCCGGGAGGCACGTATAGCCGCCCATACTAAAATATGTTAATAAAAAGTTGGTAGGCAGTTCGTTTAGTTTCAAAGTAAGGGAATTGTTCCAATTTTTTTTATCTCAAAAACTGCGACTTTGATTGATTTTGATGTTATTACAAATTTTGTTGCAAATATTATTCCTAACCTTAAATTGAAAACCCCGTTTCGCTAGCTACTGTAATTTTGGAGTTACGACTTTTTTAAATTTTTAACCCCCTCCCATACCCCCTTACCAAATCCCCACCCCCACCAAAAACTAATGGCCAGATTCTCGGGTGCCACAGTATTTTTGTGCCAAATTTGGTTAAAATCGGTTTAGCGGTTTTGAGTTATCGTGTTACAGACGGACAGACAGACACCATGAAAATATTTTGTATTTAGGTCATTTATGACCCAAATAACTCATTTTGAGTGAATTTAAAAAAACTTTTTTTTTAACCTAACCTAACCTGTTGGTATGGTCGGCTAATAAAAATCGAGTATTTGTATTCTTAACTTCAGAAAAACGTCTGGATTTAAGCCATCCAGTTATGGGATGCACAAAAGAAAGTAACGCAAAACTAATATGTATGCAAATCAAAGTGTTACGATACATTGTTGATGTTCTGTATACCGGGTGTGTCTCAAAAGTGGCTCACTCTTATAACTTTTTTTATTTTTTCAGATAAATAAACGAAGTTTGGTACGTTAGTATATGGCATAAATCAGGATTGATTGACGTATTCAATTGTTTTGGTTACTTCCTGTTTTATCGGAAATGACTTCAACTTTTTATTTTTAAATGACACCCTGCTCGATATTTTTTTACTTTATTCGATAGGAAATGTCATTTTGAATAGAATGACATACAACAAGTCAATCAACTTTTGACATTCTCGCTTAAAAATCGTTTTTCAAATTTCAATTGAGAGTTCAGTGGGTGTGTCATGTGTAATATTTTTAATCAAGGAGCCTTGGAAAAATAGATTTGATTGTCTAATGTTTTTCGTGTCTTGTCCTGGCCTGTTCTGGCCTTTCGTGTCTTGTCTTGGTCCAAAAGAGGCAAAAATCGTATTTTTAATCATAACTCAATTTTTTCAAATGGATCACGAGTGTGGCCCATTAGCATATTTGGAAAAAGCATTTTTTTAAATAATGGACTTTCGGGAACTGGATTAAATTCTGTTTTTTTTTAAGAAATAGAATTCTATTATATTGACTTATATTTTTTTCAGCCACCAACGATATTATCGAGGAGGCGACCTATTCGGGCATCATCGACCCCAGCCCCGAATGGCACACGCTGAACCATCGGGGACCTCGCGCCCACCTCACCTACAGGGTGCGCGTCAAGTGTGATACCCACTACTATAACTCAACCTGTACAAAATTCTGCCGGCCGAGGGACGATAAGTTCGGCCATTTTATCTGTGATGCTAATGGTGATAAGGAGTGTATAGAGGGATGGAAGGGGAATATATGTGATATTGGTAAGTTTGATTTAGATATATTTTTCCCTTAATATTAAGTCTTATGGCAGAAACACTGCGACCTGTAAGGCCCAAAGACCCTGTATTTCTCCCCTTTCTTTGTCTGCGCCCATTCTCCTATCCTTGCGCCCCTTGATAGTATGGGAGCATAGTTCCTCTGGTTCTAGTCTTGCGTTCCCAAATAGAAAGTGTCGCTTGCCATCCAGAGCCTATTCAGGAGCATGTGACAGCCATATTATGTCTTATCAAGAAACTGTTGTAATCCGCACTTTAATCCTGCTAAGCATTAGCAGTTCCTTTGTGGCTTCAGAATGCCTGTGATTCTATCTGTTCCTCTAGGGGATAGTCTGCTTTTTCTTGATCCAAAGTTTTACCGCACTATTGAACATTTTATTAGATTGAACATTTTATTAGATTGCACTACTGGGGTCTGAACATTTTGTTAGATAGTAAGAGATGGCTATTGGCTTATTTCACTGCGACGTTTAAGTTAGGTAAGGTTAGGTTTCTAGGGTCTGGGATTATGTTTGATTCCTTACTCGGAGGCTTTGGGCCCATTGCGATACCCCTGTACCAAACCTTCCTCTCATTCTTTCTTTGCTTTAAAGCACTTCCAGCACTTTGCAAAGTTCCCGATGTCGCTGATGTTGGCCTCTGCTACTTCCTCTACTCCCTCCAAAAAACCTTGCCCTAAAGTTTTAAAGCTTTAGTATTTCAGTGCTGGACAGTGGCACAGCAGGTGCTCTATGGTTTCCTTCTTCCTCTCCGCATTCTCTGCAGTAGTCGATGGAAATCTTCCATCTCACGAGGTTTACCCCCGTGGGGCAATTTCCAGTGATGACACCTACAATTATGCGTACAAGGTTCTTTTTGTGCTGTAGTGGTTGTTTTGCCTTTTTGCTATCTATCACTGGCCACAGTCTTCGAACTGTAGCGCAGTCCTCGCGGTCTGTCTTGCCACGTTGTCACGCGTTTTGGCCTTAGCTCGGCTCTTTTAAGTTAAAAAAAAAAAAAATTTAGAAAAGAAGTAAAAAAAATGAAGAAGAAAAAATATTATTAAGTTAGCGATTAAGAAAAATAAATATTTATGGAATTTGCAGGGGTCTAGTCGCGAACAAATTTATGCCCTAGCTCAGAAAATTCGGAGAGTAGGGGCGGGTTAAGAGCGCCACTGACTTTAGACGGAAAAAAAAAGTCAGAAATCCCCCAAGGTGTATTTAGGGGCCTTACAAGTTCCACAGATACATAAATAAAAAAAGTAAATAAATAAACAAAAAAAAGTCAAGATCTTAGAGAATTATGTAGACATAGGGCCAAAGGAAATATAAAAAAATATGCAAACTGATTAGTTTCAGTACCCTCTATTGAAATATAAAAGGAAAATATAGGAAACAGTAAATAGAAAATACCAAATAGCAAATAGTAAATTAAATAAATCAATAAAAAAAATTGTGCACCAAGAAAAATATATCTCACAATACGCAAGTAACAAAATTACGTAAATACCTAGGTACCTTTCGTGATCACGTAAGATTTACAAAATAAAATATATATGTATATATCAGCGCAACTAAATTCAGCTAAGATATCAAATTAATCAACAAATTAATAAATCAAATAAATAATACTAAACCAATTCACTAATAATAATAATTAATAATATAATTATTAAATAAATAAATCAAAATAATCAACTAATAATTATGAATTCATCAGTTCAAGAAATTTAGATATCGATAAAAAAAATGAATAGATTTAAATTTTAAATAGAGACAAAAAGAAACTGTGTCAGCTGTATTAAATTTACAAAAAAAAATTAAAGGAAAAAAAAATGAAATATTATTTTATCAACAGAATTAAGTATGTGAAAATTTATTCTAATTAAATTATAATGTTAAAAAAAAAATTATCTACGTTCAGTATTCGTACGCACCAATGAAATTCAAATCGTAAGATAGGAAAAAAAAATAAAATTGAATTGTACGATACCAAATAGTTGAAAATCTTCTAAATCAAATCAATCTTGGGCAGACACCGTCGGCTGTCAACTGTCAACCGTCGACTGTCAACTCCTCCAGAAAAGTAAAATGGATACAGCGAAAAAAACTGCTCCAACAAAAAAACTGGCTCAGGGAGAAGTCTTCAACACAGAAGAAAAGCTTCTTCGGCCCAGACAAAGAAAACTTCTTCGGTCCAGACAAAAAACTCTTCGGCTCCGACAAAAAAAAACTCTTCGGCTCCGACAAAAAAAACCCTACGGAGAAATAATATTATAGTTTCTCCATAGTACGAGATACCATAAAAAAAGATAGTTTTTTTTTTAAAGAAGAAAAAAAAGTGGAAAGAAATGTATTAATTTAAAAAAATAGGCTTTACCTGCTAACTCAGGGTTTTCTACGAATCCTCAGGTGATTAATATTATTTCTTCCCCTGGATGGAATGGGGTGCTCAATAAAAAAAGGCGGGCTGCTTGGTTGACCCACGTCAGCTTTTTGAGGTGAAAATCCCGTCACCGGTAAACCGTAGCACCGTCCAAAAAAACAAAAGGTAAGATAGGATGCTGCAGTAATTTTTGAGGCACACTCGAAAATCCCCACAAGGGTAAAAATCAAAAACTTGACAAAAATGACCGAGAGGCCTCTGTACCTCACACTAGCTGAACATAAAGTGACCAAACCAAGGTAGTTCCAAGAAAAACGAAAACCTTTTTTGCAACAAAGAAATAGCCAGATAAAAACACGAGCCCTTGATAAAATATGGATTGCCAACCATGAGCTGAATAAAGACATGAAGAAAAAGTTATATATTAAAGGAAAATAAAGTTAATATCAATAATTTATATAATTAATAGAATAAATAAAGTTAACGAGATTAATGAAAGTTATATAGAAATTTGCTTATCAAAACATTCAAAAATTAATAAATAACAACAATCTAGAGATATTGCGCATGACTCACTTGCCGGATCGATACGATATTTTTAAGACAATTATGCTTAGAAAATTCCAAAGTTCTGTCTACCTATATTTAGATGTCTTTGGTCTCACATATATGTAATTGCATGTTTTGCATTAATGTGAGTGTCTTTTTATACTAACAACTTAGTTTTCTGTTAATAAATATTTAATTTTTATGTTTCTTTTTCAGCTGTATGCAAAGCTGGATGTCATCCAGTACATGGAAAATGTGATTTTCCTGGAGAATGCAAGTAAGTACTTCATTAAATATACCTACTATAACTTTTATTCGCCATGAAACAACCGTTTCACAAATATATAAAGTATTTTAATTGACATCTCGTCTCTCGGCATATAGGAATTCTTATAATAAATAAATCAAACTAAATAACTTGGCATAAGTATTTTTTCTGATACATATATATGTTCTTCTTGTACAGCCCAAATATACTGCCTCCTGTCACATTTTCCTTTTAATGGACTATTACAACATTCAGCTTCCTTCTAGTTTTTCCTGTTGAACGAATGGTAAACGGGTACGGGTAATAAATCGCTTTAAAAAAGGCCATAATAAAAGTAAAACGTTTCTGCCGGAGATTAGAGGCTTCTTCTCACGTATTCCCACCACGTCGACCACCTAATCTCGATCTGATTTAGTTTCTTCAATAATTGACGTATCTTCTTTATGTCGATTTGACTTTATCTGACAATTGATGTAGGACATGTTTCTTTGGGTTATAACTTCGCGTCATGACGAATCGAGATTTATTTTTTTATGAATTTGTTTCTTTTTTGTTTTGATTTTAAATTAATATTCAGTGGTTTCTTGGTTATAAGAATGTTTTCTTTGAACCGATTGATTCAGAAACATTAATCTAGATTTAGACCATCAAATTTTTCTTTCATAGTTTTAATTTTCAATATAAAATGTTGTCCGAAGTCCGAACTGTATTCCGTAACTTCGGCAGCATATTCTGCAGATAAAAATAAGTAAAAATATTCGTATAAATGTATGTCCTAAAATGCTTAGTTTTGGAGATACAGGGTGTAGAAATTTTATTTTTATTTCGATTTTTTCCAAATCATTTCGCTGAAGTAACGTCAATATTTGGATGAAAATTGGTGTCTGGGAGTTTTTTGACATGAGAAATTTTATTTTCATGTCAATATAACTCCTATTTGTAGGGGACGCCACTTACATGTGTTTTAACTGTTTTGAAGAATAATAACTTTTCGACCGAAAAATACACATATTGAGTAGGTAGTAATTTAACATGTTAAATTAATCATAAATATTTCTTCAAAAAATGATCATAAAACAGTTTCTGTTGAACTTTTGGCACAAAAACATTTCAAATTTATGATTTCAGTCTAATAACTATTTAGTCAACATATTTATATCAATGATGACAGGTATTAATAATTTAGATTCCAAATATCTCCGAAAAGAATTACTCGTTGCGATTTTTCCAAAGAGGCCTTTTTTACGTAAAAAATGTCGTAAATGTATATTTTTTTACTCAGTAGTTTTATACAGGTACGGACGAAAAGTTATTAGTCAAACCAGTTTCAAAATATGTATGTGGCGCCTTCTACAACTAGGAGCCATATTGACATCAAAATCAAATTTTTCATGTCAAAAAACTCCCAGATACCAAGTTTCATCCAAGCATTGACGTTACTTCATATCGAAATCGAAAATATCGAAATAAAAATGAAATTTCTACACCCTGTATCTCCGAAACTGAGCATTTTAGGACATACATTTATACGAACATTTTTACTTATTTTTATCTGCAGAATATGCGGACGAAGTTTCCGGAATACAGTTCGTTTCACCCTGTAGAAAATTGTACCTACTTTTTAATTGATTATGTTGTTGTAAATAAAATAATAGACGATATAAGAAATACACTCAGTATAAAAAACATCAACAATTTGAAAATCTAAGTTTGAGCATGCTATAAATATCAAATAAATTTTCAAAAACCACTCGATATTAATTTTAATATTATTGAAATAAATATTTTATTACAGTTCTAATGGACAAAAAAAATATATAGCATCCCATTTGAAAATCTGCATCTTTAGTACGTATTTATACTAGATTACATCATATTACAGAATGTCGTGAAATTTTCAAGAGTTCAGAGAGACAGAGAATCATGAATATTCAATGTTTTTACGGCAATAAAATAATCTTTTGATGCTATTATAGCAATCACATTTACTTTATTTTCATGTTAATCAATTATACTTCAGAAAACAATATAAGAAACAAAAAGTCCTCGCATGAATTTTCTTTCAAGATAGATTAAGTTAAAGCCTTCATGGGCACAAATGGTAATTTAAATAGTCAACTAAATACTATTTGTATTCAGTTTTGGAGAATCAGTCGGAAATTTGGGAACTTTAGATAGTTTTAAATGGACACATAAAATTTTACAACCCTGAATACCCTTTTTTATAGTAATTAAGATAGACACTTTCATTGAAACGTATATTGTCTATACGCTTTTAATATCTCCACTAAATTTTCCCTTTGTTAACTCTGAACGGTCAGTTCAGTAATACTCTTAAGAGAAGTAGCTAAATATGATGAAATTTTATTTTGTAGTTTATATTTTAATGTCTACAGTTTTTTGTGTAAGTGTAATATTTATGGTAGTCCCTTCCATTACTAACTTATTTTTGGTATTTTCGGAAATACGATAGAAAATTTATTTGAACAAACTTCTATTGGATTGTTTTGTGATTCTATCGAATCGAAATTGAAACGCCCGATATGGTATAAACTTGTGCTTCTATAAGTTTCGGATTAGTCGTATTAATAAACGAATATTTATCTCAAATAACGGTTTGAACGTGTTTTAAAATGTTGATGCCATCCGTAGAATGTAGAATGAATGAGAGGGGGGTTAATCACTGCGACCTTAAAGATCTATTGTGCCCCCCTTCCTTGAGTTATAACTCATCACACAGTCTATAACCCATCATACATTTTCCTGTTGTAGGGGGGGGGGCAGGGTATTTACTCTCCTCCTCTGACAACAGCTATTCTTCCTCCGAGGGTACACGGTTGGAGTTTGGCCCCCTCCGTACCCTTCACAGTCGAGGTACTTGCCTCCGGCTGAGGTACCCGTGAGACGGAGGCTGGAGGATCTGTATCCAGTTTCTCCACCTCTTTAACTGGGTATCTCCTTAGACCCGATACCGGTACTGTCCCATGTCTATAATAGAGGAATGTCGCTCTTTCTCTATTGCCTCCTTGAATTTGAGGTCAATTCCTATTGTGAGGACCTGACCATGACCACTCCTCCCTCGAGTTAATGACTCGCCAACTCGATGCCCTTACATTGGAGTTATGAGCTTGGATAAGGCTCAATCGGTAGGTGGTGTCTTTCCCCTTGCTCCTCGGCAGAAAGACCGTGATGACCGCTCCTTTAGGGATGTTTTCTCCCTTCAGTGGAACCAGTCCCGGCCGTTAACCAATTCGCCGATTCTTGATACCATCCAAAACACTGTCATTATCGTCTTACTGTACTTTACTGTTATATTCCAGTAAATATTCATATGTATTTTAAGGAACTTATCTCAATATCCTTTCAGACCCTTAGAAGTCTAGTTCTAGGGGTGAATATGAGTGAAACAATTGAAAGAGTGCATCCGAAAAATCTAAACATGTATTCTGATATTTTTCGAAAAATCTACACCTTTAAATTTGATACTTTAAAAGTATATGACATGAATTTAAAGAAATCTATTTATTTTTTTATTTAGCAGCAATTTTTTTCATTTATCTCGGCTGAATTTCAGATGAAATTACACTCGAAAAAAGCGCTTAAAAATTACTTGATCCTTTACCGTTATAGAGTCTATTACCGAACATATGTACAAGCGCTAACTAACAAGCTCGAACAGGTGTTTTCTCCTCTTATTACAAATGAAATTTAAATCAATAGATAATTAATACAGTTGTGTATGTATGCGTGCGGACCGTATCCACTCTACTTTCGGCTTAATTGAAAAAATAATCAATCAAATTCAATTAGTCGGGCAAATCGTGCGTAAGAATTAGAAACGATCCGTTATTTTGGACTGAACACTGAAGATGGAGCCGAGGATGAAGAACAAAACGCGAAAGAATAGACAGGATACGAAAAGTAACACCGACGTGACCTACTATATAGATGCTTTCGGGTTCGAAATATTTACTTTTATATGCCGTTTCGGACAAACAAATGCTTTGGATGCTGTAAAACAGTGCCGGCTCGTTAAATGAATAATTATTAGAATGCTTAGATTTGACTTTCGGCAAAAAATATACATATATCTACCTAGGGTTTCCATTAGAAAAGAGCAACAAATCGCAAACTGCGATTCAATCGCAGCGATTTTAAAATCGCAATCGCTACCTACTATTGGCTCTCACAGTAAACTGCGATTGCGATTTGTTCTATTTGCGAGTTTCAATTTAGACAACCAATATTACTATAGTTTCGATTTGCGATCACGGTGATCGTAATAACCTTCTATCTGCGAGTTTGAATTTTTAGGAGTTGCGATTTTGTTGCGGTTGTAATTTTGTAGTCCATTGAATCATTTAATAGCAAACTGCGATTGAATGTTTTTTCTGATTTTAGTTATTTTTTTGAATTCATTGAATTCGTTTCGATCACTTCTTGTTTCACCGGTAATGACTACAACTTTTGATTTTTAAATGGCACCCTCGGTATTTTTTTACTTGATTTGTTGAATAGAATTTAAAATTTGAATCTAGAGTACCATGGCTGTGTTAAAAACACCAATTTTTAATCAAGGATCCTTGGAAAAAGAGATTTAATTGTCTGTTGTTTTTCGTTTGTTGTCCTGGTCGGTTAAAAGATGCCCAGCCCAAATCATATTTTAATCATATCTCAATTTTTTTAAATGGAACGAGGGTGGCTCATTAGCATATTTAGAAAAAGCATTTTTTACAAAAAATTTGGTATCACACATTTGGTATTTGGAGTCAAATTCTCGTTATGAACCACAATGTCCAGTTAAACCATATGCGAAAATGTCAAAAGTTGAAGTTATTTACAGTGAAACAGGATTCAAAACAAATTGATTGAATACGTCTATCAATCCTGATTTATGTACCACGTAGTAACGTACCAAATCTCGTTTCGTTATCAAAAAAAATAAAATAAAAAAGTAATAGATGTGAGCCACCTTAAAAATAGTTCTTTAAGGTCTTTTAAGAATCGGA